TGTTAGATAATGTCATATGGAAACATTATATCCATTTGCAAAAGAATTAACTGACCTAGTAAAATTTTTTCTGTAGCAGCTGAGCTATATCAGCCAGGATTCCCAAAGAGAGGCAGAACCAGTAGGAGGTAGATGTGGTTATATATGATACAGATAGATGAGGGTCTATAAATATACTCAGCTGTCCCCAGAGATCTACAGGTGTATAGATCGATATATCTGTATAGCAGCATATCCATATCCACATACACAGGGAGAGAACTGACCTAAGTGACTGTGGGGCTGAGCTGGCAGGTCCTAACTCCACAGGCAGGCCTCCAGGAAGGGCAGGCTGGCCCACAGCCTGGCTGTTGTTCCCAGACAGACTCTCTTCTTCTTGGGGAAACCTCAGTTCTGCTATGAAAACCTTTCAACAGATTGAATCAGGCACACCTAGATTATCTAGGATCCTCTCTGTTTCCTAAAACAAATTGAGTATGGATGTTATAGGCTTACAAAATATCTCCACAGAAGCAGCCAGATTAGTGTTTGACTGAAGAATTGGGGACTGTAGTCTAGCCAAGTTGACATCGAAAGCTAACATCATAGGAGCTAAGATGATACAGTCCATATAGATTGCTTTCTAATTAAATCTAATAAGGGATAGAGTTAAGGGAACCAAAATTGTAAGTATGTATTACTTTTATAATTTTTAAAGGCTTTCATTTTTTTTTTAACTACAGAAATTGATGCATTTATCACATATCTCAAGAGAGAACAACTCAGGAAAAGTAGACTACATAAATGTGTGGCAGTCCCTTCTATTCAATTAGTATTCACTTAGAAGGCATCTTCAGCAAATGTGAGACCACAGTCAGTTAAGAGCAAATCCCTAGGTAAATTGCAGCTTTCTGCATATCGGTGAGAACAAGATTCATGTGTCCCAGGCGAGGGATATACAAAGTCAGCAGACTGAATGTGAAAATGTTGGAGCCAGATCTGTCTTCTCAAGCTCTTTCTCTAGAAATATCTGTGCCACTGGCAGTGTTTGAAGACTGTCCCAAAACACTATCTTGGGAGCATCTGCCCATGCCGGAGGTCCCTGACCTTCCTCTGTTTGTCATGCCCTTAGAGACTCAGTAGGTTTTCATGGTGTTCCTAGGCCAAAAGAAATGTGGTTTTGTTTATCAAATACTTAGGTCTAAGCAGTTTTGTGTACTGAATACTTAGATCCAAGTAACACAATAAGAATGAATGCCTTAGCAACTTAATAGCCATTTGAAAAGATAGTTCACAGAAATTGAAAGAAAAACAATTTTTATTTCATTCTTAAATAACTGCATCTCCTGTAGCAAACAGATGTTCATTCACATGCTAGTTGTTTTTCTATCACAATAACCAAAAACCCATCTTTGCAAAGATATGTCATCAAAAGAAGGAGAGCACAAGCCACGATAACATCATGAACTACCTTGCGTTAGCAGTTCACGTAGCATCCAACAGATAGTATCACTGTAATTTCCTCAAAGATGTAAAATTTCCCACTGCACCCCTGAGAGCCTGTTACGCCCCAGAGTACCTTGGTGCACAGTTTGGGAACTGAGGGGTCTAAACATTTGTACAAGCTCCCGTTTGAATTCTGAATAACACAATTAAAAACTTGAACATTTTCAAGATCAAACCAGACTTTCTAGATATTTCCCCATTTTGTATGAGACAGATTCAAGTTATTTACCTAGGAGGCCCCACTGCATCGTATCTCTAAATTTAAGTCATACTTTCTGCATAGAAGCAAATTAACAAGTACATTAGTGTTAAATTATCCCCAGCGTATTCTTGCAGCTTCCGCTTGCCTTTTGCCAGGTTGAAATGGCGAGGCCTTCATTTCTGTGTGCTCTTCCCTTTCTGTTATTTTTTTAGTCCATTCTTTGTAGTACAGTGTGAAAGGGAATTTAATGTCTTTGTGTCAGGAAAGGCCTATTTATTCTGACAAACTGATCAACCTCCAGGGTGTTCCTCTACCATGAAACTGATTTTATATCTCATCCACTAGCTAATAAGATGTGAAGCGTTTTCCCTGTCACGCCGAGAGATCAGACTTGCTTCCATAGAAAGCGGTGGGATGAAATCACACAGCAAGCTCTTCTCGGTGACTGAAGCACGCAGTCTACGTTTTTCCAACATGAGCACGTAAGAGCAGAGCAATGGCTCTGAGGCAAACCCACAGATGAGCGGAGACATTAATAAAAAAAAAAAATGGTTTTAATCTGAAATGGAAGCCCTGAGATGCACACTTCATTCGCCGTTCCCTGGATCAGCTTTCGGTTCGGGGAAAATGAAAATGCCAGGAATTAAAACCTGATGGTATTGGCGAATTGCCTAAAGACATCCTGACAGACAGCCCTCTCCCGCCAATCTGAATCTTTAAATAAAGTTTACATCCTACAAACTTGAGGTCAGGCTCTTTGCTGTGAGAAGAAGTAAGACTACAGTATCCTGAAATTGATGGATAGAAGGTAGATTGTATCGTATCTAAAGAGACCTTTTCCTTATAAAATACTTGCCTTTTCTGGTTTGGTATGTGCTGAGATTAAGACGATTTTCAGACGAGGGGTTAAAACAAGAAATTGGATCTGGGGAAGGAGGGAAACCTGTTTCCGTGGTGAAGACAGTACGAAGGAAAATTGCCTTGGACGGGCTGTTTTTGAGGCAAGGAGGGATGACGATGTACTGGGGCATAAAGCTGGACTTTTCTGTATCCTGTTTGTGATTTTGTTTATCAGTTCACATCAGTCTTATCTGAAGCAAAATTGTGCCAACTTCCTGGCTCATGCTATAGAAGAGTCATTTGAGAACTTTAAGCATCCAGAACTTTCTTGAGTCTTCCAGATTCTCAGTGCCATTACTATATCGGTTATCGATTGCTGGGTAAAAAATACCAAAAAACTTAGTGACTTAAAACAGCAACAATCTTGTTCCTGTTTTGCTTTATATTGTCTTTCCCCCCACAAGGCTGTAATTTGGGCAGTGTCCCGTAAAGCCAATGTGTCTCTGTTCCACACGGGGTCACCTGGGCCAACTCATCCAGGGGCTGGAAGATCCCCTGGAAACATGGCTCAGACATACGGCTGGCAAGTTGGTGCTGGCCATCTGCACTCAGCCAATTCTCTTGGCCAAGGGCTTTGGTTCCTCTGTACATGAGCCTCTCATGAGCCACTCACATGAGAGGAGGCTGCCAGTTTCTTAAGGCCTGGGCCCAGAAAGTGGCACACCATCGCTTCCACCATGTGCTATTGGTCAAGTAGTGAGCACATCCGTATCTAAGCAGAAGAGACATCAAACCCACCTCTCCATGGGAGGAATACCCGCTCATCCGGGGCCCATGCTATAAAATCACCACCACTGCCCACACACCATGCTCATTAATCACACTGGTTCTCTTGTGAGACCTGTTTCTCTCCAGCGAGGTAGAGAATATTTGCTGAAGGGAACCTGTTTTCTAGTAAAGCAACTCCTTCTTCAGCTGTGAAATGGGGTCGGGGAAAAGCAGTCCCTGGCCGTTATCTGTGTAACAGTTAGAACATCTTGTGTACCAGTTAGCACGTATGATCTCACCTACCTCTTCCAGTGATCAGAGGAGATAGTTATCAGTGTTATCCTGGGTTTTCAAAGGATAACTGAGGCCCAGGTGACAAGGTGGCTTCCCAAGGTATCTCCGTGGACAGGCGATGGGATGATGACTTCAATCCCGTGTGTCTGACTGCAGAGCCCACACCCTTAACCACAACTTCTGGAGCATGGCGGGTGATGGTGAAGTAGTTCTAGGAGGGTCTACTGATGCCAGATACTAGCAGGACAGCCTCCTTTTCCAGCATTCACTTGCATAGCTTCCTTCCCTGCAGATGAAAGGTAGAGGGCAGTTGGTTGGTCCCCAGATCTCGTCCATTCCCTGGAGCACTATCACCAGGTGAGGAGATCCTCTCCAGACTAAGCATTGGCTTCCTACAGACACCATAACAAAGCACCCTGGACCGGGGGCCTCAAACAACAAAAACTCTTGAAGAAAACTGTGAGAAACAGTCCTGCAGGTTAGAAGCCCCAGAACAAGCCCCTTGGTTTCTACTGAGGCCTCTCTCCTTGACTTGCAGATGGCCACATTCTCACTGTGTCCTTGTGTCTCTCAGCCCTTGTGTGTGTCTGTGTCCTAATCTCCTCTCATAAAGACCAGTCACGTAAGATGAGGGCCACTCTAATGACTTCATTTTACCTTACTTACCTCTTCAAAGACCCTATTTCCAAACGCAATCACACCCTGAGGTCCTGGGTGTCAAGACTTCACCATATGAATTTTCAGGTGACACCATTTATTTCTTCTTTCCATTATAGGCTGTCATTGCAAAACCAAGTCCATTAATATGAACATAGAAATCCACTATGTATGTAAACAGATACCAGAAGTGAAATTCTTTTTAAGTTTATTTACGTATTTTGAGAGAGAGAGAGAGAGAGAACAAGCAGGGGAGGGGCAGAGAGAGAGGATCCCAAGCAGGCTCTGCGCTGTCAGCTCAGAGTCCGATGTGGGGCTGGAACTCACAAACCATGAGATCATGACCTGAGCCAAAACCAAGAGTCAGACACTCAACCAACTGAGCCATCCAGGCGCCCCTAGATGTGAAATTCTTGAATAACGTCACTTCCCTCGGAGCCTAACACCAAAAACACTTTACTACAGATATTTATCTGCATTGTTATCTTTTCTGCCAGACTGGAAACATCTCGAAGAAAGGAAACATGACTCATGCATCCTTGAAACCCTGCTATAGTGCTTGGAACATTGTTTAGTAAAGAATTAACAATACCATCAAAATATAACTTTATTTCCTCTTTGCAAAAAGTGATCTGGCTCAGAAGCCATCACACACGTCAGAGGAATGAATCCAGTGAGCTTGGAAAAGGGAAAACATGTTATGTCCAGATGCAGCCCACAAGCCCGTCCCTAACACATGTGTGTTCTTCTGCAGTTCGTCTTTTGCCGGGACTGTAAGGAAGCGTACCATGAAGGTGAATGCAGCACCCTGTTTGAAGCCTCAGGAGCAGTTTCTCAGGTACAGTGACCTCTTCCTGCCATAAAACAGGGCTCAGGATATGGAGGAGAGACAAGAGCTGCTTCCTGAAGCCCAGGGAGGGTGTCAGTCTTTAAAAAAAATAGTTTCAAACAGAGAGGTTGGCAAACCACAAGAGACTCTTAAATACAGAGAACAAACTGAGGGTTGATGGTGGGGGGTGGGGAGAGAGGGAAATGGGTGATGGGCATTGAGGAGGGCACTTGCTGGGATGAGCACTGGGAGCGATGAATCATGGGAATCTACCCCTGAAACCAAGAGCACACTGTATACACTGTATGTTAGCTAACTTGACAATAAATTATATTTAAAAATTATGATAAGATAAGATAAGATAAGATAAGATAAGATAAGATAAGATAAGATATAAACCCCAAACCAGACTAAGTAGCCAACAACCATGGGATGTGGCTCTGGCTACTCCACCCTCAAAGTCCTTCCAGAACCATCCACCTCCTCAGGGTAGGGCTGTAGATGGCCATTGGGATATGTCCATACTTTCATAATAGTTTTTCCCTAGGTGTATATGCAATAGGGAAAAGGAAAATAGCGTGATGAGAGGAGACTTTAGAGGAACAAACAATTTAACAATTTCCAAACCAGATCAAGCAATATTAACCCTACATTTATATCTTTTTTTCAAAAATGTCTTGTTTAAAATCTTTGGTGAAACTATGATATGCATAGAAGTATTATATGATGCAAGAATATTACTGTTTTTTAGCAACATCATGAACTATGCTAAATTGTATTTCAGTCTTGATTAGGTAAAGAATGTGTTTACTGAGCCTTACTCTCCAATCTGCTATATCAGGCTTAAGGAAATGCAAATACATTTTCTTTTATTTATTAATTATGATCAACCAAACCTTAGAGGAAAGGAGTAAAATTTCAGCACAGTTGATGAATTTACTCATTATTTTTCTACTGATATAGATGTTAACAAGGTTTTAAACATTAAACCTATCCCGATAAATCTTTTAGTTACTTTATTGACAGGAACCTCAGAAACAGACATAGAAATTTCAGAACATTTCAATTTTACAGTAGAAAAATTTAAATATCTGAATGTTCTGGGGTACCTGGGTGGCTCAGTGGGTTAAGCGTCTGATTTCAGCTCAGGTCATGATCTCACAGTTCATGAGTTTGAGCCCTGCATCGCATCGTGCACTCTGCTGTTACCACGTGACCCTGCTTCAGATCTTCTCTCCCTCTCTCTCTCTGCCCCTCCCCCACTTGCACTCTCTCTCGAAAACAATAAACATCAAAAAAAATCATCAAAATATCTGAATACTCTAAAATCAGAGCATAAAGTATATCTTTGTAAGGCATTATGTGGATTTATTTACTAATATTAGCACAACCAAATAAACATAATTAGTGAATTCAGGTCTTCTTATCAGCTTCTAAAATGTTGGCTATGAGCCTATGGGGAGATTTAGACCTGAACTGCCATTTCTGCAACAGAGGCACCAAATGCTCTTTCTGTTGATTTTATTTTAGCTCAGGGGCATTCAAATACCAGCTCACTGCATACTGATGTCAGGAATAATATTGATCCTGAGACTCCCCTGCCTCAGGACCATGGTAGCCCAGAAGAGCTAGCCTAGACTGAGGCTCTAAGAAATGGGTTTGGTCTAGCAACTTATATCCCTGGGCTCCTATGACCGCAAACATGCACAAAGCCTTCTAAGAAGTGATACCTTAATGTCCACTTATTGGAAAACAGTAGAAATAGGGTGAAGAAGAGAACACATTAACCTATAGTTGCCCAAGTGCAAGACGCACTAGATAATCCCCTTCATTATTCATTCAAGAACTAACCAATCTTGGTGTTAAAGATTGAGGTAGCCCTCCTCCCCCCCCCCAAATTTTTAAACTATTAAAGCATTAATGTTCAACTCAGGAAAGTGGGAGAAAGAAAGTTAGAGCTGGGCTGAAGCATAGATGACCAGTACCTAGGGGCCTGTGTCTGCAAAGACCACCCATTAGCAAACATTAAGTCCAGCATTTGTATGCACCAGACATCCTGCTGGAAAACTGCAGATAAGTATTTCTTTTCAGTATATTGTGCAGATAAGCACATGAGGGAGTCATAGGGGAGACTTACAGAAAAATATATAATAATAGTAATGTGCTACAACAAAGTTCAGGAAATCTTTAGCTTTGCATAACACTTCCCCAGAAAAGTCATAGAAGTTGGGTAAGAGTGGCAAAAGGACAGTGGGAGAAGGATGATAAAGAACATTCCAGCAAAAACACTGCATGGACAAAGATACAGAGGCAAAAATTTTATCTGGTGCACAGATATTTCATAGATGTTTGCTGAATGATTGTGGCTTCTAAAAAGAAAAATACATTCTTTCATTTATTCAACGAATATGTATTAAACACCTATAATCCGTTAGACTTTATGCTAGGCTCTGGGGATAAAGTACCTGCTATCACAGAGGTGAGATTGTTGGCTGCACCAACAGTCATTATAACAGGAATTCAGAAGAAGAATCATTAATTTAGGACAGAGATGTGCAGGAAAGAATCCAAGAAGAGGTGGCCCTGCAATAAGACGTCCCTGAAATGAGGCTCCTCCCTGCCTTGTTCACACTCCTAGGCAAACCTCATATTCCCCTTATTTGAAAACAAAGCAAATTGACCAACCAAACTGGAAGAGCCTGTCCATCCACTGTTGTCTGAGAACAGAAGGCAACTTCTTGGGGTTTTGCTGCCCTTTTTCCATACATCCGATTTATTCAGGTCCTACAGGAAAGAGAATTCAGCTCAGATGGGCACATGAAGAGACTTTAACTGAAAGGTCATGGATGGCCTACAGAGGTGGGGAAAGGTCACAAGAGCCCCAAACAATGTGGAGGGCCTCAAAGTGCAGCATCAGTGAGGAGCCATGAGCCCCTAACTCTGAAGGGACAAGAGGAGGGAATGGTGTCACACAGGGAATAATCCTGTGAGCTGGAGCCACGGAGGTGGGGCCTCTTGGCAGGAGGTGTAATCGCAGAGGGTCCAGCATTGACAGAGGTAGGCCCCCAGCAGGAAGAGAATGAAGGGACATCTCCATTTCTCTCTCCCATCCTCTGATCTCTTGTTAATGTCTCCCATTGGCCACACCCAACCGAAAGTCAGCCTCGAGGGGTCCGAGGGACACAGCCTGTCCGAATGAGCCAGCCTTCCAGGTGCAGAAGAGGGGAGGGGAAAGAATGCAGAATGACGAGTGTATTCCTATAATCTGATTTACCACGTCTCCAAAACCTCTTGATTTCAATCGTAGCTCCTCCTGGGCCTGGAAAGAAATGAACCAAATGAACTATTTCATCAAACTAAAAGACCCAATTCCATTCACTAAGAGAAAGGAGGACTTCTATTCTAATAGGGCCAGCTTGTTTTCTGTTCCTATATTTCACTCAAATGGGAGTGATCTCCAGGTGGATCACCTCTGCAATTCCACAGACACGAAATCTTTGAAAGAGGACATGCTACACATCCAACCACAGAAATCTAATTGCAGCTCCCTTCTTGGGACTGAAGGCTTTGGATGCAGCCTCATGGATAAAGTCTGCTAATACAAACAAAATACTCTCATTAACCCTCTTCACATTTCCTTCTAGTTCAATTCACTTGTAAGGTGTTTCCTTTCAGCATTTGTGGCCACTGTCCACTGCTCTCCCTTGAAAGCTGAGTGGTTTTTGGACTTTGATATTACATTACCCAGCCAGGCAAGCCCATGTCTCCCGGGGCCCAGTCAGGCTTTTTCCATCAGTTGGGCTGCTTGACCCTAAACTTAATGCACTTTTTGATTAATGCAATAATTTTTTTAAAGCAAACTCAAAAATTGGTTTTAAATTGGTTTTAAAATATTGAACACACTTTAGGTCAAAACTGCTGGGCATTTGGGAAATCAGTGACAGAAGATCGATCCATCACAAGCTAATGAGAGTCCAGTCCCATTTGCTTTTCCTTGTTCTTGCCTGGTTGTTCTCCTCCCCATGCTCCGTCCCCTTCCACAAATTCCCTCTGGAGGCTTTCTAATAAGTAAACACTTGCTCTTGCAAACCACAGAAATTGATTCATTCCCCCCAGTGGTTCTAAGTAGTAGATATTACTCTCCCTATTCAACAGGAAGGCAAACTGAGATTTCTAGATTTTTAATGGCATTATCCAAAAACACAAAGGAAATCATTTTCAGTGGCATCACCTGATCAAAATGGTTCAGGAACAGTGAGCACTCTTTCTGAGTAATAAATCTACAGTGTCTAAAGGGAGTGTGCCCATCCCTTCCTGCCAAGCTCCTACTCAACCTTCAAGACCCAGATCACACATCACCTGCTGCATGAACCCATCTGCCCACCCTACAACCTCCTTGAAGCTTTCAGACAACTGTACATACTTCTGTGACACATTCATCGCACTGAAATATTGTTTCCCTGTCTCTTCACTAAAATTATGAGCTTTGCTAATGCAAGGTTTGTACCTATTTTATAACCCTCAGTGCCTAGGATGCCTAAGATATAGTAGGTACTCTATATAGATATAGTAGGTATAGCAGGTGCTTGTTGAAAGAAAGACAACTCCTTCCTTCATCCCCAACCCTCCCTTCTCTCCATGAAGCTGGGCAAGCACTCTACAAGAATGAGTGGAGAGGAGTCATCCAAGATGGTGACATAGGAGGATCCTGAGCTCCCAACCCCCATAGATGCATCAAACCTGGAGTAATGCCCTCTGAAAAAGATCTAAAAACTGGCCAGGTGACTCCTGTCTATCAGATGAATGAGAAAATACCCACATCAAAATGGGGAGGCTGAGACACACTCTTGTCATGAACCCCACTACTGGCACTGTGCCATTCAGGATGAAAGCCCCAACCCCCTGCTTCTCGCAGAGTAGCAAAGGGTTTTGACCCCACGTCTAGCACCCCCACTGTTAAGACTGGGTGCCAAACACCTGGCTCTGCAGCCAACAAGGCTGATAATAAT